AACCATATGATTTGTACCAGGTAAACTTTCTACCCGTCAGCTGGACATAAACCAACCCTGTTCTTGTAATAAAGCAATTAAATTCACAAATCTCCCTCATGCAATTAACTCCACCCTTTCTCTCAGCCGTACTTGAAACTGCATTAAAATCCCCTGCAACACAGACCTTAGTGTTTATCTGCTCCAGCCTGCAATTCAATTCATCCCACAGTAGTCGCTTCCCTTGAAGATCACATGGTGAATATACATTAATAAAAGTGCATGGCATCCTATTTGACCTCCATATAACTTTCACTCCCAAAAAACCTTCACCTAAAAAGCTAGATTCTTTCAAGAAAACTCCTTTGTTCCAAATGCATAACAAACCTCCTAATTGCCCTGCTAAAGCCTTTGCCTCCCACTCAAAGTTGTCACACCCCCAAATGTGTCTACAAATTGATCTATCAATCACCTCCATTTTTGTCTCTTGTACCAAAAACATATCTACCCTTTCTTTTACTACCAGATTTCTCAGTTCTTTCCTTTTTAATGAATTACCCATCCCTCTAATATTGAATAATAAAATCTTCATAAAAAATAAGCACCCCACATAAACAATTACCTCCAATTTCACTAAGGATGTGGCCGTCTCGCATCCACCTCCTCTATTTGTTGCAGGACCTCTTTGATCTCTATATCATTGCCTTGGGTTTGAACCCCTAGCCTTCTGCCCAATTCCATTAGTTTCTCCACCTCCTCCTTATTCTGCTCTCTTAATATGGTTTGATTTCGCTGTTCAATATGGCTGTCCGAAAGAGAGATGCCCACAATTATCTGGTTGTTGCTTTCTTCTCTTCTTTTTTGATTCTTCCTTCTGTTGCCCCTTTTCTTTCTTGTCACCCATCTTATAGCACTGTTGTCCGAATAGTAGCATTGCTCTATCTCACGCCACCTTCTTTGTCTTTCACCTTTTGGGTTCTTCCCCATCGTTTGTTCATTTATGTTCTTTTTGTCTTTCGCTTCCTCATCTCCAGAATGGCTGTCCTCTTTTTGTGTCTCCTGCAAATGGTTAAAACCCCGATTTAGTCCCTCAACTTTCATTTTTGAACTAAAATTACCTTTGAACTTCAAAAAGTACTAAAAAAATCCTTGAACTTCAATTTTTAGGATCAATTTCGTCCTTTCGTCAATGGAAGTGCCAGATGGCACGTTAAGTTGCCACGAAATCAATTATTGTTGGAAACCTTTAATTACATGAAAAATAACTTATTATCCACATCATTTTAATTAATTTATATATTAAAAATTTTAAAATTTCTTAAATACCCCCAATCAGTACCGATTATCCCTCATTGCTCCTGTCATCTCTTTCCACTCCAATCTCCATCTCCTTCTTCCCCAAACCTTCCAAACCTCCTCTCTAATGGAACCCAAATCTGGTATCATATTGCAAACTTATAACAAATCTATAAAAGAAAAGAAAAATGCAAAAAACGCAACATCCCTTCAATCAGCACCAACTGTAACTGAACCTTGAAATTCAAGCAAGCAGAACCCATATCAAAACTCTAAATCTCATACCAAGATAATCAAGCATCACTGCAGCCAACAAAGAAACAGAAGAAAAAACCCAGGCGTGTTCGACTCAAACTCGCACCAGGGTTCCATTGAACCCAGGTGCTGGGTTTGAAGGAACCCGTGCCTGGGTTCTCGAACCCGCACTTGGGTTCCATCGAACCCAGGCGCTGGGTTTGTAGGAACCCAGGCGTTGGGTTTGTAGGAACCCAGGGCTTGGGTTCGAGGAACCCGCGCCTGGGTTCCCGAACCCATGCCTGGGTTCCTCAACCCGCCTGGGTTCGATGTGTGTTCCTCAACCCGCCTGGGTTCGATGCGTGTTCCTCAACCCGCCTGGGTTCCATTGAACCCAGGTGCTGGGTTTGAAGGAACCCAGGGCTTGGGTTCAAGGAACCTGCGCCTGGGTTCCCAAACCTGTGCCTGGGTTCCATCGAACCCAGGTGTGTTGGGTTGAACCCAGGCGCTTGGTTCGAAGGAACCCAGGGCCTGGGTTCAACCCAACATGCTTGGGTTTGAGGAACCCAAGTGTGAATGAAGGAACCCAGTAGGCAGGGAAGGAGAAAAAGAAAGAAAGAAAAATAAGGGAAAAAAGAAAAAAGATGATGAATTGAAGAGAGGTTGAAGGAGATCGCGAAAAGTGAGGGATTAGTGAGGTTGAAGATAAGGGTATTTTGGTAACTTCAACAAATATAAAAAATTGAAGATAAGGGATAATTGTGTAATTTTAAGGATAAAATGCCAACTCATACACTTTTACATGTGGTTTTTTCATGTTATTAGTTGAAAAAAAAAAGCTTGATTTCGCGGCAACTTAACGTGCCATCTGGCACTTTCGTCGATGAAAGGACGAAATTGGTCCCAAAAAGTGAAGTTTAAGGATTGTTTTAGTACTTTTTGAAGTTCAAGGGTAGTTTTAGTTCAAAAATAAAAGTTGAGGGACTGAATTGGGGTTTTAACCCCTGCAAATCTACCCAGTGTCTCGATATTTCCAATCCCCGAGTTTGCTCCTCAACATTATTGGGCCGAATAACTTATTCACTGGTCCAGTTGATCCAATTCTTCTCTGAACTGCTTCTAGGCCTATTGACCTGGCCCATATAATTCAAATTTGGGTGCTCATCACCAAGTTGACCCATCGAATCCTCAACCACAGTATTAGTACTATTTCCCATCATTAACCCCTTCTTTTGTCCACTCCTTTCCTCATTTTCCCGAGAAAAGGCCCCACAAGCATCGCCCTTTGCTAGCCCTGGGCATTTGAAACCGAAATCGACGAATTACCCAAAAACCGAACCAAAAAAATGAATTCGGTTCGATTTAAACAGTTTTTGGTTTTTACTGTTTCAGTTTTTATATTAACCGAATAATTTTGGTTCGGTTTTGGTTGAATTTTTTAAAATCAAAAATCGAAAATAAAACCAAAATTAAGATAAAATAGATAAAATATAATAATATATAATAAAATATAACAAAATATGATAAAATATGTGATAAAATATAA